CCCCAAAACCCCAAAACCCCAAAACCCCATACATTTATATTTCAAAGAATTTTTATTAAGAAATCAATTAAGGAAAGGTAAATTTAATGCATTCAAATAAGTAATCTCTTGTAGATTTTTGTCACTTAATACCAGGCAAATTTAAAGGATTAATGTGAAAGCTCATAGCCTGTATTTCCTTTGAAGGCGAGTCAGATCTTAGGTCACCATTTCTATTATTAATATACAACTGCTAACTTTAATCTTCGCTTTCCCTCTTAGATCTCGTTTACTTGAATTCCTGTCTTCCTGAGATGGAAATTAAATCGTTATTCACACCATGAGTATGCGAAACTGATACCAGAGAATGCATACCTGAAGTAGAAATATTATTGACTCTTTATCTAGGCCCTCCTGTCTAGATTGGAGCTTTACTTATGGTATTTAAAAGGAAATTGATGTTGTCTTATTCACTTCTTTTTTTCTTTGTCAATGAGGATTTTAGATATCTTTTAGGAGTTTGAGAAGAATTCGTGAAGTTCAGAGGAGTTGGGGTAGCATCCATTGGCCCATCTTATCCATAATTAAAAGTCTAATTTACTTGACTAATCTTCCTGGGTCTATTTGAATGACCTCTATCATGGATTATTGGATTGATGTTGAAATTGATTTTGTTATTGATGATAGTCCCAAAGCCTGCTGTTCTTGGAGATCCTTACTAGGATTAATGGTTGACAACGCTTTTAGATTTAATTCGAATATTTTGGTTTATTTAATCATTGAAAGGTGAGAGCTGAAGATTCTCAACATCATTCAGAGACTCCTATGCAAACTTTTAGAATGCAAGGATATTAGGAGGCTCTTTAGAAGTATCATCATTTTCATAGTACTCATTAATGTTTGAGGTATCAAACTTATTCATCCACTAATTTACTAAGAGCGCTTGATGGAATAAGAACACTTTCCCATTCTTTATTCCATTGTCTTTTATCTAGGCAACATTTGGCTGCATCTACTCAATGTCAAATTTCAAAATTTCTGTGATCAGTATTGATATCTGTTTGATCTACCTGTGAATGATCTCAATCCATCTTAAAGTTAGCTCTGTATCCTTTTTATTACTTTTACTCTTCAGTTAATCTGAAAATTCTTGCCTGTCTACTTTATTCTGTAAAATATTCCTTGCCTCCTCACTAAATCCTAATTCATCATTTCCATTTTACCTTGGACTAGAGCCCATCGTCTGATTCTTAGATAAATGTTAAGTAGCTCTTCTAACTGCAGCATAAATATCTTTTGACACATTTTTCCCTAAAATGTCAATCATGTCCTCAACTTCCTTGATTTTGTTTTTATTCTCTAAGAATTTTTCATTGATCTGTATTCTAAACATATTAAAGTCGGTTGATTCGGTGAACAAGGTAATATGCTGATAAATCTCTTTAATATTTTATTTACTTGCTTTATCAGTTAATATCTCATCGAACCTCCTTATAATTATCTGCTATTTTTCTAAGTCTGAGTTAAATTCCATAAGCTTATGTTCGAATTTTTGTATTTCTGGAACTGTTTTATTGTACAAGTCTTTTAAATCTTCATACAAGCAGTATTTGGTAAAATTTTTCCAGATTCTTTTTCCTTCGTCTAAGTCAATTTTCAAATTTAGCTGATCATCTACATACTTGATGTCTTGTTGCATATTGATGAAGTCTTTGTTAATCTTTTAGAACTATTTCTTATGTAGCTCCTATGCTGCAGATATTTAAGTCAGTCTTTCATCCAAGTTCTCCTCAAAAATCTACATACTGTCATTGAAGTCTATAACGCTTAACCTTGCCTGCAACTTCAGATCTAGCTCTTTGTTCAGTATCTATTTTCTGTCTTCATATTCTTCCTTCGATATGTAGGTTTATTCGAAGTAATTTTGTAATCTGTCAATATTTTGAATCATATTTCTGTAGTCTAGCATGCTTACAAATTTACTTTCGATATTTTTCATAACTTCTGCAAAAGCTACCTTAGATAAAACGTCATTAGTCAGTCTATTCTCTATCTCCATAATCTTATCAGCAGAGCCTATGCTCTTAAACTGATATTTAAGATTTTCCATTTCGGTGTTAATGAGCTACTGAGTATTAAATATTTCGTCAAGGTCGTATTAGCTCGCTTTCTAATATTATTTCCTAAAATACTCTATATCTTTTTTAAACAACTCCATGGAGCTCATCACATTAGCTAAATTACTCGTTGATATTTATAGAGAAGCTAGGTCAGCCTCTAAATTTACCTTGAATTCCTCAAACTATTCGCTTAGAATGCCAAATTTTGGAAAGTAAAGATCTATATTTGAAGCGAATTTACTTGCAGTGTAATCAACAACTCTTGTCATTCCTTCTGATTTTTATTTATCCATTTCATGCTCAATTTTCTGTAACCTAGCATTTAATTCTGTGAATTCCTTTCTAGTCGGTCCTTATTCAGCTGCCATAAATTTGAGAGATTAATTAAACAATTACAGACAAATAATTTATAAATATGTAACTCTGGTTATTAAGATCAAACCGTTGAAATTAGAATAAATTTATTTGGGAAATTTTCCTCTTTCCTTGCTATTTTTAATCATTTAACAAGACGGGGTTTTGGGGTTTTGGGG